GGAGTGTGTGGGAGCGGGGCGTTGGGGGTAGGGGGGGTAGGGGTGGGAATAATACCGGCATTAGTATACACTGCAACCAAGACAGATTGTGTCAGGTTAGCTTGATGCGTTAAAGTGCTGATTCATTACGGGGCTGATTTGTTATAATATCTCGAAAATAATCCACAAGTGTTATCTAATTTTGATTGTGCAACTAAATCTTCCCCCTACATCATGGAAACGGCTAGAAAATGATGCATAGCACAGGTTTCGCTGGAGAAATGTTGTTGACGGCCTATGCTCCACAGAGAGTTAAAAAGGGCACGAGAGAGAGAGAGAGAGAGAGAGAGAGAGAGAGAGAGAGAGAGAGAGAGATGGTCATGTAAGTGCAACATCCCCTCCCCAACCTCCCCCTTTTTGCCTTTTATCTAGCATACGTTGAGTTAGAGGGAGCACTTCCTCAACATCACCATTGCCTTTCTCACCCTGCACCACGTGCGCTTCCTAATGAACCGAAAATGCGTCATATTGTACGATCTAGGATGTTATACTACGCTGCTATAGCCCCGGTTACACGCAACGATAAATTGGGTCAGATTCGTCGAAAGAGAGAACTGTAGGTTTTATCGAGCTGCGTAGTCCGTTTAGACGTTCCAATCTATCGTCCAGTTTTCTTTCGATCAGGGAGATTCCTTGTCATTGACATGACTGCAGATGTGCTACGCACCGGGTGACCTTGATACACAACTTCACCATTGATGATCAACTAAAATAATAAAACTGCTAAAATTTACATAATAACGCATCAAATCAGGTCCCCGAGAGCATCATTGCTTACTTTGAGATGCTGATTCCGAATATGAAATCAGTTTTTACCTGCGATAATTATTACAAAATTTTGAGCCCTTTATTTAATCCTGCGCGGCGGCAAAGTTTTAAGTGATTCTAGTTCTCAGCGCGTCTCCCCCAAATCTGACCGTGATCGCACGGAAAATGTCAAGCAGCACTTGATTTATTGACCGAGTCTCCAAGCCACTGTCCAATCGTCCAAAACTTTGTACAATTTTGTGGTTACACGTGACGATTTGTCTCATGATCGATAGATCGTCTAGTTTTTGTACAATTTATCGTTGCGTGTAACCGGTGCTTAAGACAAGAACTGAACGCTCCATGCACACTACACGGCCACACAGCAACGGTGGAGTTGGCAGTCCGATGTGCGGGCTCCTGGACTCACTACTGTAGGGTAGCACGTTCAAATTCCAGTTCCTGCCAAAAGTTTTGTCCACGAGAAAGACACCATCCACATGTTTAACTCACTTCACCTTCGTGAGAATATGTATCTTTAGTAGTTCTACTAAGATTTTACGGCGCGTGCTACTGCATAGGGTCAAATGAGCGCCAAGGGGTGGATGTCAACAGAGAAGTCCAAAAGGGGAACCAGGCTTACTCTGCTCACCTCTCTAGCCTCAACAGCACAAAGTCAGCTTCGACTAACTAGGCATCCCAGAAATAGCAGTTCACAAGAGAGTGTGACAAACATACAAAAGAAATGAAGGAAAAATGACCATAGTAAGGATGAGGAAAGAAAAAGCAGCATTCCCCCCGATGTTGTTCCGGCACAGTATGAGCATGGCATTGATAAATTAAAGCTCATTTAAAATTCTACTGTGCATAAGAACATGTTAATATCCCCCCCCCCTTTGGGAATGGCCTGATAAAGACAACTTCAGCCAGCAGCGCTGCCCTGGTGGAGGAGAATATGTATCTAGCCAGGACATGGAACGATCTTGTCAATATGTCGTTACTGTTAGTGTTTGAGGGCTCGTAGTACAGTGTCAGCCAATGCTGAAAGCGTCTCCGGAAACTGAAAACGTTTTAGGACAGTCGTTTTAGTTTAGTAAGCGTTTTTTTCAGTTTTAGTACGAGTTTTGCAGCACTTGCAACACAATAAGGTCATATAAGTGCCGAAGAATAGATTACGTGTTACAGGAGAGTAACAAACACAAAAAAGAAGGAGGGGAGATAAGGACGACAGATGTTTGATAGGTAAAAAGGACTTTATCCCCAAGTAAGTAAACGAACATTAAAATAACGAGTAAAAAAATAGCTGCACAATCAAAATTGGTAGATTCTTGTGAAAAGCATTAGATTACAATTGGTTGCTTTTAAGGACAAGCAGGCTAACCCAGATTTCGGGGGTTTCCAGAAATCTTGATCTGCAACAAAAGTGGGCATTGCCCTACCTATAGGAGAAGTTAAGTTTAATTGGTGAGTATATTTGTTTTGTTATAGAGAAAACTCTTCTTGTCTTTTAAAGAAACCGAACAAGGGGCAAACACTTCCATTTTCTCAAAACAGCATTTTTCAGGATAGCCTTCTTGTACTTAAAAGAGACCAATTAATGCCTTTCTTTTTTCCGATACGTAAAGGCGTCAGTTTTCTCACAGTAAGCAGTGACACAGAGCACACACAAAGTCGTGAGATACACATGCATGCCTCTATCTATCTAGACACACTACGGTTAATCAACACAATAACTTAATTATCGTCCACAAGCTGTTCAGAGATTCTAAGCCCAGAAAGCAGCTCCATTTTTCAGGAAATTGGTAAAAGTAAATGGACTTCAGTCTTATTTGTACCTACACAGTAAAAAATTAATTTTTTTTCCAATACATAGAATTTAAATTTCGATGAAATTCTCTTCGAGCAATTGCAACCGGTCCAATAGATGATGATGGCGATACGGCAATATAGAAAATAAAAGGATAAAAAAAGAAAGAAAAAGGGGTTTAGAGCTTCTGAACAGCTGGCTGGCATTATACACGTATGAGTTGTAAGACTAATCTAAAAATGCTCAAAACATCAAGCGGAAACCTCAACACCAAATCTGCCATTGGTTAAACTCTTAAACTTAAATGAATAAAGCATCATTTCCATGGCAACAATAAGCTAGCTACTTAGTTTCACATTACAACTTACACACATTTTAAAGAAAAAAAAAACCCATCACAAAAAAGACTGGATTATACATAAAACATAAAAAACAGAGAAACCTCAACAAGTTACGAGTTACAAGTTACAAATATATTTGTGCCCGTCACAAAAAGAAAGGAGGTGCTCACGTCCTGAGAAATAGTCAGCGTCTTTCCACAAGCGCACACGTCATTTTTTTTTATGGCTGAAGTTTTTGAAAAAAAAAAAAAAAGAG